GGCTTATGTTTCAATGCTATCAATGAGCCGAATAAACAAAGCTGATACTTACTACTGCGAAAGTCCCGTTCCAGATTCTGGTAGACACATTAAGGAAGTATTCTCCTTTCACCTGAAGGTCTTTCAGCCAGCAGGTGATGTTACTACATGAAGCGGTTCTGCAGTTCTTTCAGGTTGGAGTCAAGGGTAAAAGAAGAGAGAGTTAGTACAAGCTTTAAAAAATAAACACCAAAATTTTACAAAGACAGATAAAACCCAGTACTGGGAAGGAGCTAAGGAAATGAGCAATCTCATGAACTAGTAGTAGTAGTTACAACCCTCCTTCTGGAGATTTTAGCACTTTGCCTCGAAATGTAAAAAGTGCATGTCCTTCGCCCCTGCCGCTGCCCATCTGTGTGGAAGGCCTCAGGAGATAATAAGTGTGTGCAGAAGAGTACAGCAGGCCTGTGTATTGAACTACTGTTTATCAGAGTTAAAGAGAAACAACAACCCTCGCCAAGACTGTTAATCAACTATAGTGTAAGATTAAAAAAAAACTCCAAGGACTAAACAATCCGTGTTTATCAACAGTGTACTAGTTAAGTAAATTACTGAGTATACACACACAAAATGTAGTACAACTTAGTCAGTAACCTCATGATACAGATGCATTCCTTGAATTTTAAAAAAGTTGTCAGGAAAAGAGTCAGTGGTTGCCAAGAGTTAGGGGGGAAGGAGGGATGAATAGGGGGAGCACAGAGGAGTTTCTGGGCAGTGAACTATTCTGCACCCCGTAATTGTGGATCCATGTCATCATACGTCCATCCAAACCGATAGAACACGCATCCAGGGTAGCCTAACGTAAACCATGGGCTTTGGGTAATTATGATGCGTCAGTGTAGGTTCATCAATTGAAACAAATGTACCACTCTGGGCGGGGGGGGGCTGGTTCATAGTGTAGGAGGCTGTGGGTAAGTGGGGCAAGAGGTATATGGGAAATTTCTGTAATTTAAACTCAATTTTGCTGTGAACCTAAAATTGCTCTAAAAATAAAGCCTATTAAAAGATCTGTGACATATCGGCCAATGAAAAAAGGCAGCTTGGTCCATTTATGTAACAGTGTACATGTGCTTATATGTAGGTTAATGATTAGAGGTAAGGAAGAATGTTCATAAATGTTAAGTGGCCCGCTGTTAGATTTCTGGAGAACTTTAGTGTTTTCTTTGTTTTTCGTCTTATGTTTCCTCTATATTGTTCACAGAAGTTGCCTTTTTTACAAAATCAAAACATTTTCATACCCTGAGATGAGTTTCTCCTGAGCATTTTTACATACCTCTGTTCACATTTAGACCACATTTGCACTGTAATTACACTATAGTTACTTAAATAAGAAACTGTTCATTCTGTTTTCCCATCCTTCATGAAATAAAATAATTGCAATAAAAGAAAAACAGGAGAATTTCAATGTTGTTCATAGGGGAGAACTGAGGTTGGGTTAGGTTTTACTGTTTACTAAATGTTTGCTTATTTGAATACTTCATATGTGCCAAGCGCCATGCTAGATGCTAGACAAGTGTCTTTCCCAAAATAGTGGCATAACTCTCGAGCAGGAGATGAGAAAATATTGAAAACAGAGAAGGGTGGTCAGAGAGTCAAATTTAACAGCTCAATAAAAGACGTCAGTGATTATGTGGAGGAGGTGAGGGGGGCTTCACCTCCCACACATGCCCAGCTCCCGCTCAGCTCTTTGCAACGTTTCCACTGTGCACGACACAAAACCAGTTGGACATGGAGTCCTGTTAATATCATGAAATTTGGAACATGTATTTTATAATAATGGCATAAATAATAATTCCAATAACCTAGATTTCAGCTTTTTTTTTTTTTTTTTTTTTTTTGCCATACGCCATACGCGGGCCTCTTACTGCTGTGGCCTCTCCCCCTGCAGAGCACCGGCTCCGGACGCGCAGGCTCAGCGGCCATGGCTCACGGGCCCAGCTGCTCCGCGGCATGTGGGATCTTCCCGGACCGCGGCACGAACCCGTGTCCCCTGCATCGGCAGGCGGACTCCCAACCACTGCGCCACCCGGGAAGCCCATCAGCCTGTATTTTCTTGATTCACACAGATCATCAAAGGCAAAATAGGAAAGTTCTACCACCTGAGGTGGCAGGAAAAAAGAAGTGCCTCAATTTCCAGGTAAAACAAACAATGAATCACTAAAGGAAGTTTTCACCCCATTAACCTGTCCTCACCAGTTCTTTTACATGGCGGAAATTTTCACTCTTGAAAGATACAGAAGAAGATGTCTGTCCTATTTTCAGTGGATTTATTTCGGCTTTGCAACTGATGTCACCAGCCTACAAAGAAGGACATCAAATCAGTCTTAGGAAGCAAGATGGTTTACGATGTTATTTTTTACTCGTTAGGAAATCCTATTGTCACATGTTGGGGCAGGGGAGGGGCTCCCAGGATTCTCTGCACTGTGCTGACCTGGCCACACTTCTGTTCATCACTAATGTAAACCCTGAAGTATTCAGATCCTCCTGGCGTGACTCGATGGCATGGCGCTGGTTCTTGCAGCCCACATGTGATGACACAAATTTGTAATAACAGTTGTCTGTGAGTGGTTTATTTAATTCAGGGTTTTTTCCTGTGGAACAGTTTAGGATTTTGCTTTCCTGTGGTCACCTATAAACAGCGCAGAAGTAACACTGCTGTAGCATTAGCTAAGTGCTAGACCACGGCTGAGCCACTGTCAGGGGTTTGCCTACAGCATCCCTGTAGCCGGAGGGCTTTTAGAGAAATACCCAGAGGGCTTTTAAAGAAAAACACGGGTCCTACAGCCTTAGCCCTGGAGATTCTGATTTAATTGCCTGGGGTAGGTCTGGGCATCACGTATTTAAAAAGCAACCCAGGTGATTAAATGAGCAACCAGGGTTGGCAACTACCAGTTGAAAGTCCAGGCTGGCAGCTTGAAGACCAGCTACTGACTGCAGCTGTGTAGACCAACTACTCTCCCACTATGGGTTCAACCTCTCACTTCCCAGCCAACTAACTTCTCTATAAACAGGGCTCTGACAAAGTCAGATGTTCAGCTGGTCAGGAGGTTTTAATAATTTCTGCCATCTGTACATCCCTAGACTCAGACATTTCTTATAATAATATCCTACTTCTAATATGAAATTAACTGCTTGTTTCCTAGCACCCAGGGTGCATAGGGGTTATCTTTGCAGTTTCTTGTCTGTATGATGCAGACATGACCACCCCCACTTCATGGAACATTTCCGTATGGAAGGTGCACGTTCTTATAGGCAGTTTGGCTGCACGTACCTGGTCCGTGTGCACCCCAGTCAGGTACATCAGCGGGTTCTTGCCTCTGGTGTATTGAGGGATATGGATGATTACAGATGCCATGCTGACTGGAACACTTCCTGTTGTTACCTATGTAGTAAGAACACACTCTGATTGCCGCTACATCATACACACGTTGGAAGGAATGGGATCAATAACCCCAGTGTTGATGAAGGGCAGCTATTAAGTGGTAAGAGTGAGTCCATATGAAAGGGAGTCCTTACTTTATGGTCACTCTTTGGCTCACTGTGTTTTACCTCTTGGAAGAATCTCAACATCTACAGTTTTAACTGGTAAATAATTTGTGACTCAGGAGATGATTAAAAACACCTACCATCTGTGGGTTTGGTCTGCTAGGGCATGAAGTCCCACTCTGCCCCTGACTAGCAGTGTGGCTTGGGCAAGGTACTTCACCTCTTTATGCTTCAGTTTTCTCATTTGTAAAATAAAGGTAATTGGCATATCAGTAGGTATGCACAGATACAGCCTCTGTTCTCGCTGTTGGAAAGTCTGTCCTAATTGTCCAGGGCTCATGCCCTACTGGTTGTTAAACATTTTAAAGAACACTCATAGGAATAATAATCCTATCAATCTCATAACTGATCTGGGAATTAAATGGGTTAACATACATAAAGCACTTCATACAAAGGCGGATACTTATTACATGTTCTCTGAATATTATATACTACTAATTGACTAAATGTTTCATTAAAGAAGTAGTTGCCAAATACCGTGTACATTTTATAAATTCCAATATCTGGATCACAAATCAAGACTCCTTTAAGAACTTTTTAAATCACTGAATTATAGAGTTGCAACCATGTGACAGACTTATAGGAAATGTACAAAAATAAAGTGGTAATGACTAAGGGTGGTGGACGGATTCTTCCCTTTTTATTTTCCAAAGTTCATGCAATGTTATTATAAAATATCATTCTCTCATAAATTCATTTCTCTTTATATAACTGAAAACAAACTTTAAATTTGTACTTTGTACTTTACTAATAGCCAATAGAAACTGATTTTAAAATATTTTTATATACTACTTAGCATGACTGTACAAAATAAATATTTGTATACAAATGGTGAGCTTCTCAAATAGAAGTGGTTTCCAAGGATAAATTGGCATACTGATTATATTTCAGAGACTTTTGTCCATAGTAATATTATTATATTACTGCTCTGTTGATTAATGTGCAACATTTGCTTTCAAAATACATCAATTATCTCTTACCCAGGACACATAACTATGTACAAAGCCCACCTGTTTACTTATCAATGGTCTACCTTAGTAGTTCTCAAAGTATGGCACCCGGACCAGAAGCATCAGCGTCACCTGGGAACTTGTTAGAACTGCACATTGTTAGGTCCACCCCAGACCTTTTGAATCAGAAACACTGGAGATGGAGCCCAGTGACATGTGTTTTAACAAGACTCCAGGTGATTCTAATGCGTGCTGAAGTTTGAGAACCACTGGTATATTTCAACTTCTTTTTACTTTCTTCTTCTCCTCCTGCCCTCATTTTTTTACCCCCTTTCTCTTGATTTTCCATTCTTATGTCAGATTTACCAACCTTAATGAAGAAGATGAATTTTGGACCAATATCTTCGAAACTGTTCACAATAGAAGGAATATTCCCATCCGAGGAGACTTCATAAAAATTTATGTTGGTAGATCTGTTGGATGATGTTTGTAAAGCCGAACATTTTAGTTATGCTATTGTTCTTGAAGTTTAATATTTCTTTTATCTAAATATCTTCTAGCTTATTTTACAAGTGAAAGAGTTTACATTTAGGTACAAAACGTTAAATGAAAACAAATGCTTATTATGGACTTATGATCCAGTTATACATTTCTAAGGCTAAAACAAGTTCCTTTCAAAACATATCCCTTAATGATCACTCTGCTGAGATTCTTTGTGTTATATGTGTATCAGTTGTAAAGTTTCTAAAATAAGTACAAATGTATTAAGAATTTGTAGTGAAACTCTTCTCAAGATATTATATCTTGACAGGTATGTCAAGATATATTGACAGGTGTGTTAATATAGTGGACACTTGGTCCTTATTGATTGGATGAATGGATTTATAAGGCAGAGGATTTTCCACTTGGTATGATGGCTGAAATACCATGATAAGATATCGGGCATTAGCTCCTACACTACTCATCACTGGACGCCTGTGAAACGGGGTATACATTTTATTTATTATTCCTTCTCCCTGTCTTCCCTAGTTCCAAACCAGCTCTGACACTTTGGTCTGAATTGGGGTTGGTCAGTCTGTTTCCACCACTGACCATACAGACCATCTCTAAGGTGGCTGACCCAGGAGTTTTATTAGACTAGGCCTAGAGGCACTGGCCTAATTGGACTTCTTTGCTTGGGGCTGCTGAGTAGGGTTTGCAAGTGAAGTGATGACCAGGCCAGAGGGAACCCCACAGGACCACTCAGACTGGAAGGTAACTGAATACCATTCCCTCTCTTCACTCATTTCTGGGAATCTGAGGATGGATTTCAACTAGGGTAGCTTCATTGAGGGGTGGAGGGTAGATAGCAGGGATGGGAGTCTGAGAAGCAATATTTATTCCCAACAGAATTTATCCTAACTACAGGATGTTGATTCTATTTCCTTAAAAAAAAAAAAAAATTGGACTGGATATTTTCTGAGATAGAGTTGTTTGGTTTCTTTACTGAAAATCTTGCCTTTTTCTTTTTTTATGCCTTAGAATTTTTTCCCAAATTCTCAAAAGGAAAATATGCCATAGGGACTTAAATAGATGTAGTATTTGTCAAGGTTATGCCTATGAGAGGAAACAATGATTTGTCAGCCTTACATGGAAAATGGGAAAATGGACTAGGATTTAAAACAGAAAGCCTGACCCCAATAAAAATTAATTACAATAAAAGAAAATAAAACAGAAAGTCTGGCTGTGTGTCCATGAATTATTCCCTTTGCCTTCCAGAAGATCTTTGTGTGAGCCCCTAAGTATGGCCAGTTTTTAAATTGATTAATATGCTCTGTTTTTGCATTTTAAAGAGATCCAGTATTTTTCCATGTTACTTAAGTGCTCCTTCAGTTACTTAAATATTGATCAATATATTTATATTAGCAGTTAGCTATACTAGGCGGATCTTGTTTTAGAAGTAATTCTACTGTCATCTATTTCCATCCATCATATTTGCACAAAATAATTACACACTTAGACAGTATCAAAGTGATTCCTAAGGGATATACTCAATAATTGGGTAGGACTTGTTTTCAAAAAAAGTAAACTCTGTGTGTGTGTGTGTGTGTGTGTGTGTGTGTGTGTGTGTGTGTGTGTATGATGCATATATCCTGGTAGATAAATAAACCCTGTATCTGGAAGGTATTCTGAAAACAGTCAAGTTAGTCATCTACAAAATGACCAGAGGAGATGCGGAGGGATGACTTCACTTTTCGTTGTGTACGTTTCTGTCATGTTTGGATTTTCTATCCATGTACATTTAATATCTTTTTTTACAAAAGACATTAAGAGAAATTACCTGAGAGGCAGGATTAGGAGCCACTTTAGCTTTAGTCTTTATAATTCTCCATACTTTTTTTAACTGCATGATATAATTAAAAGAATATGAGAATGTCTGAGAATCCAATTTACCATCACAAAAAATACATAGCTAAGATGTTAGTAAAAGTGAAGTCCCACTTCAGTATTTTATTTATTTCATCTTAAAATACCTGAAAAAATTGGCCATGGTGGGAGAATGGAATTAGAAAAAGGCTCTATTAACAAAAAGCATTTAGGATGAGAAAGAAGCATTAAAGGTAGGAAGAAAAAGAATCAGGTAATGTGGTGCTATCAATCTCTTTGGCTGCATCTGTTTTCAGTTACTTATTTTAGCAGCTGAGGGCCCTTTGAAATCTGCAGTTACTGAATAATTTTTCAGGGATGGATGACTTGGGCTATACTTCGTTTCTGCTTTTGCTGTTTGCAACTCACTCGATAAGGAAGCATTCTTTTCATCTTCGCTCATGTGTCTCTAGCTCTAGACATAATGACATATTTTCCTTTTTGTTTTTGCTCAGGGATCTGTTGGATGATCTACATATTCCATGCTGTAGGGGCTGGAGTGATGTTAGAGAAATCTGCGGTCACTGGACACTTTGAAGTGTGGCTCCTTGGGGATACGCTGCTGCGTGTTTTCCAGGGGTCACTGATCTGTGCTGCGAAGCTGCCTCAGTGTTTCAGCAGGTAGAGAACTCTGGTTCCCAGGCTCGGAAATGGGTGTCCCCTGCAGCCTGTGTACCTGCATAGCTGTGCCCCAATGTGTCTGTGCCCATGAACCCACTTCCCTTCTCGAAGGTGATCCCATAGCACCTGTGGTGTCTATACGTTATTCACCTCTCAAGACACAGGTCTCTGAACAATTCAAGATAACTGGTATCAACTAGTACCATTTTGAAACATGCCTAATTTTCTCCTGGTTGGAAGAAACCCCTCATCTGCTATGCCAGGAATTTTCCAACCAGAAACTAATTTTCTGTAACTAGATTCAGTATTTGTGTTTGGGGCTTCAACGTCCAGGAGTGGGGACATTGCTTGAGATCTCACGTGGACAGTAGGACACAGGCGTGGAGAAGGAAGTGGTGGCAGCTCCTCGGGGCCCTGCGAGTTCTGCTTTGACAGCTTGTCCGAGGGCCTGCGGGGGAGTTTCCCTTGGCATGTGACAGAGGATTATTCCTTTGTCTTTCTGGTGTTGCTCTTAGTCAATAAACCTAAAGGGTCCCTCAAGATTCCCCTAGGCACCAGTTTGTCCCTGGACTTCTGTTTTAGTTGACAAGGAGGAAATATTTTAATTCAAATTCCCCAGTTAAGAATGAGCATATAGAGGACTTGTTCAGTCATGAACCAAATATGTTAAGAGCCAGAGTGATGTCCATGTTCACAGGCTGCCCACTGTTTGACCTACCTTGTTATGTGAATTTCGGCATCATACAGCAGAGAGAGTTTGAAGTTGACTGAATTATCTGCCTTGTTTTCCTCGTAGCTTTCACTATTGAAAGGAACATGAGGAAATTACTGAAAGAGAAATATTAGAAAAGCCTCCCATCATTAATTCATGACTTCATCATGTTTTACCTTAAGGCTTGGAAACTGACAGAGGCCTGATTCTGAAGGTTTTGAAGATTGAAGTCGAAGTTAATAGTGAAAGTCACCTATACACAAAATGAAAATTCATCAATCTATGACGCTTTGTGCTCCGGGACCAACATGAAAAAAAAAAGTGGCCCATAAAAGTAAACTCACTCCCATTTGATTCTGAATTTTATAAACCTTAAGCTTTATAATTTGTAGAATATCTATGTATTTGTCCACCTTGCCTTACCTTCAGAATAGAACTGAATTCACCTGACATATATATACAACACATCACAGGCACTTACACTTATCTGAATTTGAAGGCTTTGTGCTGATGTAAAATTTGCTTACCAGGGGTTAAAAATGATATCCATGACTCTGTAAAGCACTTTGACCAGTGTTGGTCAATGTGTTCAGAAATAAAGAACTTTCTATATCATGTGTGCCTTTGGGAATGAACTGCACAGGGGAAAATCCCACTTTTATTAATAACTTAAAACATGCAGATATTTAAAAACTTCCTCTAAATATGCAGGCAACGTTGATAGTCAAATGGATAAAGAAGATGTGGCACATATATACAATGGAATATTACTCAGCCATAAAAAGGAACGAAATTGGGTCATTTGAAGAGATGTGGATGGACACAGAGACTGTCATACAGAGTGAAGTGAGTCAGAAAGAAAAACAAATATCGTATATTAACGCATATATGTGGAACCTAGAAAAATGGTACAGATGAACCGGTTTGCAGGGCAGAAACTGAGACACAGATGTAGAGAACAAACGTATGGACACCAAGGGGGGAAAGCGGCGGGGCAGTGGTGGTGGGATGAATTGGGAGATTGGGATGAACATATATATACTGATGTGTATAAAATCGGTAACTAATAAGAACCTGCTGTATAAAAAATATAAATTAAAAACAACACATGCAGGCAGTTATTTTGTGGTGCCTATCAAATGACGATACCTAATAAAGATGGTTCATTGGTTAACACCGATGGCAAGGAGGGGTCAGCATGGATTTAAAGATAAAATGCAAGGTGTACCTGTTGTTCCCTTTTTAAAGCAGGGTAGCCCACATTGCAGGTAACAGACTTCTGAGATGAAGCAATCTGGCATGTCACTTCTGTCCCATCAACCTGAATGAGACCAAGGAAACAATTATCAATTAGTATGCAATGTGTGTATGCGCACACACATACATGCTGAAGGATGTATAAACCACCTGGAAATTCCAGCAGAAAGGTTGGTTCACACCAAGACTTGAAAATTTTATATGAATTGTCCAAGTGGCTAACATACTATTTTTTTTTTTTTGCGGTACGCGGGCTTCTCACTGTTGTGGCCTCTCCCGTTGCGGAGCACAGGCTCCAGACGCGCAGGCTCAGTGACCATGGCTCACGGGCCCAGCCACTCCGCGGCATGTGGGATCTTCCCGGACTGGGGCACGAACCCGTATCCCCTGCATCGGCAGGCGGACTCGCAACCACTGCGCCACCAGGGAAGCCCCTAACATACTATTTTTTATTGCTAAGCAGGACACCCAACAAGACAAAGGAGAGGTCAAATACTGGAATTTTACCCAGAAATAAATCATATTTCTTACATTTTAGAAGCACAAAATAACTTTAATCCACTATTTAGAAATGCTGTCTTTAATGAATACTTTTCTCTCAGTATATTTTCAAAGTTGTAGTTTCAAGAGAAAGACAAATACAGTTTTTGTTTATACCTTAAATAATTTAAAGAATCATTTTAGTTTTCCTCAGGATTTTTTCTCTTTAAAATAAGTTGTCATTTGGCACAAGAAATTTAAACACTTAAGTCAGAATAGGTTTAGAACACTAAATCTATTAAGTTCACATTGACTTTAAACTGGATGAAACTATTTTTTAATCCTTTCATCAAACAGTGAATTTGGAAAATCTCAGCTTTTTCCTTCTCTCCTTTTCACTGCTTGGTGGCAGAGGAGGGACCAGAGGGACATTCATGGGCAAGTGTGTTCCTGCTATAGCGATCAAGTCAACATGATTAACTGATCTCATTGGAATGCGGCATCTTGGCAGCAGCAAGACCTGTGGTTACTAAGCTCTGGCTGAGCTGTGGGACTCTAATTTCTCAGAGCAAGTGCAGCTCCCAGCATCTGTGCGGCACCGAGGAAGCCTCATCACACAGATGGCTTGAGGAGAGTTTATGGTAGAGTCTGGCTACTACTGCCAAGTGTCAGGGCAAAGGAAAACTGACCCAAGCTGTGAAGCAGAATTGGTCTAGATACACAGCCAGGATATGTCCCCAAGTGGTTCAACTAGTTGGGAGCCACAAGTCAGGACTGATCATGCTCAGGGTTAAGGTGTTTCTTCAGAAAACACAGAGGACATGGAGATTTGAGTATAAGGGAGACGGTAATTCACAACAAGTAGGAAACAAATCAGTTAACACAGGGTGCTTTCACATACCGGCATGGACCAGGAAGCAAAAAACAGATTTTCTGAAAAATCAACAACAATCCCACTGTTGTATGCACTTTCCTTTTTGTTTTTCAGTGTTACTGAAAATGTTAACCTTTTGTTTTGGTTGCTGACAATGAAGGGCTGTTGTCTGTTAAAAGTAAAAAGGAGAAAAAGAAAGTCATTACAGTTTTTTTTAAAAAAAGCTAGTATTCAAATACTTTACTCATTAAAAAAAAACTCTTTAGATTTACTATTTAGAAGACTGAGAAAATTGCTTAATAATAAATTATCTTCATAGTAAAATAATATTGACAATGAATGACTAAATGCTACTGGATTTTCTTTTTTGTTGCTTTTAATTACATTGCAGAAAAAAGCACCATCCAAATACAAGTGGTTTTATATTTCTTAGTGTTTTACTTCTATATGGATGAGAGAAATTGAAATTTATGTTTTTATTTAATTTTTTTTTATTGACGTATAGTTGATTTACAATATTATATTAGTTTCAGGTGTACAACATAGCAATTCAATCTTTTCAGAGATTATACTCCATTTAAAGTTATTACAAAATAATGGCTATATTTTGCTGTGCTGTACAATATATGCTTATTACTTATCTATTTTATACATGGTAGTTTGTATCGCTTAATCCCCTACCTCTGTCTTTCCCCTTCCTCCTTCCCTCTGCCCACTGGTAACCACTAGTTTATTATTTTTAACTGTGAGTCTATTTCTGTCTTGCTATATACGTTTCTTTTATTTTTTAGATTCTCTATATAAGTTAGAACATAAAGTATTTGTCTTTCTCTGACTTATTTCATGAAGCGTAATATGCTCTAGGTCCATCTGTGTTTATTACAGGTGGCAGAATTTTATCCTTTCTATGGCTGAGTAATATTCCACGGGCCCAGCCACTCCACAGTATGTGGGATCCTCCCGGACCGGGGCATGAACCCGTGTCCCCTGCATCGGCAGGCGGACTCTCAACCACTGCGCCACCAGGGAAGCCCCAGTTGTTTGGTTTTTTGAGTTGTATGAGTTGTTTATATAGTTTGGATATTAACCCCTTATTGGTCATATCATTTACAAATATTTTCTCCAATTCAGTGGGTTGTCTTTTTGTTTTGTCAGTGGTTTCCTTTGCTGTGCATAAGCCCTTAAATTTAATTAGATCCCATTTATTTATTTTTGCTTTTATTTCTTTTGTCTTAGGAGACAGAAAAAATACTGCTACAATTTATGTCAAAGAGTGTTCTGCCTATGTACTCTTCTAGGAGTTTTATGGTTTCAGGTCCTTACTCCATTTTGTGTTTATTTTTGTATATGATGTGAGAAAATGTTCTAATTTTATTCTTTTACATGTAGCTGTCCAGCCTTCTCAGCACCACTTATTGAAGGGATTGTCTTTTCTCCATTGTATATTCTTGCCTGTGTCATAGACTAATTGATCATAAATACATGGGTTTATTTCAGGACTCTCTATTATGTTCCAATGATCTATATATGTATTTTTGTGCCAGTACCATGCTCTTTTAATTACTGTAGCTTTGTAGCATAGTCTGAAGACACTTCTAACTTTGTTTTTTTTCTCAAGATTGCTTTGACAATTTGGGGTCTTCTGTGGTTCCATATAAATTTTAGAATTATTTGTTCTAGTTCTGTGAAAAATGTCTTGGGCATTTTGATAGAGATTGCATTAAATCTGTAGTTTGCTTCGGGCAGTATGGACATTTTAACAAAATTAATTCTTCCAATCCAAGAGCACAGGATATCTTTCCATTTCCTTGGATCATTTTCAGATTCCTTCATCAATGTTTTATAGTTTTCAGAGTATAGGTCTTTCACCTCCTTGGTTAAATTTATTCCTAGATACTTTGAAATTTAGATTTTAAAGGTTTTTAAGAGTTATAGATGTTTCTTTTATAGAAAAAAATCTCTATAAACATTCACCCAAATGAAGTAATCTAATGTGTCTTTTATTTCTACAGTTTTCACTGAACTTTAAAGGAAAACTTACTGAGCTGCTGGCAGCTGTTGAACATCTAGAACTAGATCAGAGATGCAAACTCCATCATCACCACAATCTTTATAGAAAGGGATCTACAAAAAAGAAAAAATAATCCCAGAAATTTACTCTTGAGTTAAGAAAGCAAATTGTGGAAGAACACATATAGTATTACTCCATTTACATAAAGTTCAAAACCATGCAGAACTAAACAATGTTTTAGGAATATATACATGTTTAGCAACATCAGAAAGAAAAGCATTGATAAATGCAAAATTCAAGATGATGATTTGCTTTAGGGGAACAAGATAAAAGTGGGTATGATGGGGTAGGGAGTGATACAGAGAATTTCAGAGGTATTGGTACCATTTTATTTTTTTTAAGTGGGTGGTGAGCACAAGGTGTTCACTTTATTGTTATTTATTTCTTCAACAAACATTTATTGAGCACCTGTGGTGGGCCAAACACTGCTCAAGGTGCTGGAAATAGAGCAGGGAACAAGGAAAACAAAAATCCCTGCCTTCATGGAAATTACATGCTGGTAAACTTTACATATAAGTAACTGTACTTCAGTTAGAAAATTAACAACTTAAAGGCTATGTCCTAAGTATCCTTCAAACACTAAGGCAGTGACTGTGAAACTTTGTCAGCTAGTCTGAATTCCAAGAAGGGCAAACCACACTTACACTGAAGACCTTGACTGTCTCAGAGTAGGCTTCAAGGGCAGGGTTAGTGCCAGGGTTTTCCAGACTGATGTTCACACACAGATCCAGAGAGCTGACAACATCAGAGGGCTCCTAAACACACACATGCACAGAGTCAGTTGATTAGGGCACGGCAGCTTCAAAACAAGAAAACAACCACAAATGTGTTCATGATTAAGGACACAGTCTACTCTCAATCATGCAGAATAGCTCTGTTTTGAATTTTCAAGGGTCTTGCTTCTTCACTTCTGTTCTAAGTCTGCTCTTAGCCTCTCCACTTCTAAGAGACTTAAAAACCTGGGCTCAGTAAAAATTTGAAGCAATAATTCTTAGTTAAGCTCATCAGTAATCTCATTATTTATACACAAGTAATTATCAATATTTAGATGAGATGTCCAGTTTTAAATGCTCAGAAGACCCCTCTGTCATT